ACCACTTATTCTGCATCGTGCCACCCAACTAGTACCCTAGGCCATCATCTCACATCACATCGTGGTGGTAAACAACCGAACAGAGTTGTTTTTCGAATGTCTACATTTTGCGAATTGGGGCCATATGCACGTATGCGGGTCTGTCTCAAGAGGAGAATAGGTGAATTGACAATGCCTTGAATCGTGGCAGCTGGCATCCAGGTCCTCCCCGTTGTTATCGATGAGGTGTGGATCATGCATTTTTCGCAAGATGCAGAGGCTTTGCTTGCGCCAAAACGCTTATGCGCCCCTCTCTCTCGACGGTTTGTAGATTGAGTGTTCTGGTAGCCGGGAACTCTCGAGCTCTCCCTCGCACAAACGTGGCCGTAACGCGTAGCACCTGCAAAGACTACAATCGCGGCACTCCAACAACTAAACAGCGGACCATCAGCACCACCCCCACACTGATACCTACGATCTGCGTGCGTCTTGCCTGAGTTACACTTGTTGCCACGGGAAAGCTCACAATATCGGACAACTGAGTGACGCAAAAGACTGCTCCGGCGTGGATCCCACAGGCAGCAAACAGTTGCACAGCTCCTTACATAGTTGCCTCACGTTTGCTCTTCTAGGCGTCTTGATGACAACGAAGCAAAGCTAGGAGGAATCACGGAAACATAAGTACATAATTCTTACAACAGTGTGGTGGAAAACTTTGGCATGGCGGGGAACGGTACTCGATTGTTTCTGTTGAGAAGCACGATACCCACTGGATTACCACTCAGCAGCTAACTGTCAGCTTTAGCCGACTGGTAGCCCCCTTGGTTGTCGTGCTTCTCAACAGTTTCAACGTGGAGCACGTGCTGAAACACTTCTGCCGTTTGGTATCACATCCGCTGCTTCAGAAATGCCGTAGCGCTCCAGTTTTTTCCGTTCCGAAGTTGAGAGTGGGGCACTCAGAGGGAAGGAACCTTGACGCTGATCTAAACCAGTTTCCACATTGGCGGGGTCGCACGTGTCCGTGTTCGATCTACGATCATGGTCCTATCGATCTTTGTTCTACCAAAGTACCCGAGATGATTTCAAGTTTGATCAATCGTTCGGGTCTTTCGGGGGGTTGAAGGGTGAAGATGTCGATCGAAAAGTACGCTTGACATTTTCCCCACCGTATCACACACATAACATCGATTTTCGACGGGAAGTGTCAACGCTTAGTATGTACTGTAGGCCCACGTGCACTAAAACCCTCCCCGTGCATAGGAAGTTTTGTGACAAAACCGATAGAATACTCACCGTCTCCAACCAAACACCACAGTCAATCGTTCCCCGTCAGTTTGTCGTTTATTGAATCAACGGGTATGCGTTTTACAGCCCCTCAACTGTGTAAAGATACTTCGATTTTGTCACTGGGCTAAAGCACAGGCCATTGACTAGACCTGCAACAGCAGCAAACACCTTCAGCATGAGTGGGAGCACAACTATTAATTCCCGATCTAAACCCCCCATCTCGAACAAGCGTAGCGCCGCCTCTTGCCTGCACCAACCTAACCAGACCCCTCCCCCCCGCCCCACCTACGCTTCAGGTGCTCTTCGTGTTGGGGTTACCGATGTTGGTGGCGCTGTCGGTCACTATCCCGGACTGCGGCAAGCCGAGGTGGGAGCAGTGGTACGCCATGTCCTTCCTCATGAGCCTCGCGTGGATCGGGTTGCTGACCCACTACATGGTCGAGTGGGTCAACGGCCTGGGCTGCTTCCTCGAAGTGAGCCCGATCTTCATGGGTCTGGTGGTCCTGGCCATCGGGACGTCCGTGCCGGACGCCATGGGCTCCATGATCGCCGCGCGCAGTGGGGAGGCGAACATGGCCATCGCCAACGCGGTCGGGAGCAACGTCTTCGACGTGCTGATCGGGCTGGGCTTCCCCTGGTTCTTGCGGGGGATCATCAAGGGCGAGCCCATGCCGGTGGACAGAGACGGCATCGCCCTCAACGTAATCATCCTGTTCTGCACGGCCATCCTGTTCGTGTCCGTGCTGGCCGGGAACGACTGGTCCATGAACACCAAGATGGGGATCTTCCTGTTCTGCTTGTACGTGGCCTACGTCATCTTCGTCGTTATCCGCGAGCTCGTCCTCTGATGATGGGTCGGACGCGGTGAGAGTATCGGACCTCTGGCCTGGTTGCGCGGGGCTGACTCCAACACGGGATTCCTCCTTCGGATGAAGTCCTTGGGCTGGCATCACTTGTGCTTGGCCGCTTCATGTCGCTCGTCCATCCGCACTCCCGAGGAGAGAGCAAGAGGGGAAAGAACTCTCAACTAGACCAGAAGGAAGGAGAATGGAGGGGATGCTCGTCACGGCTGGACAGCGTAGCCGGTCTTCGAGGAAACCTCTGTTGGGGGGTTATTGCTTCGAGATCAGCCCTCGTTTGCCGCCATGGGGAGACCGGAGGGTGGGGGGGTGAAGCCTTGACGTCACGACGAATTACTCGAGACGGGAGAAAGGGGGGAAGGATCGCACAGTAAAGACGCGGTACATGGCGAGGGGCAAAGGACGGCGAGGGAAGGCTTCCTCGTGGCAGCGAGATCGACATCAGGAATCAGGGAGAGGGAGCAGGATAGTACAACTCTGATGAACGCAAGAGCCTGGTCGGCGGAGGGCATCGGTACAGTGTGCAGCGTCGTCGCTGGGAGAACCGACTACCACCGTCGATGTTCTTTAGTCCTTTTTTTTTTGGTGTAAGGAAGGTCGTGAGATGCTTAGTGCTTGTTTTGTTGCCGCTGTTGCTGGTATAGGTTTACCCCCACTCGCGTGTCGCCGCCCCAGCACACATTTCGACGCTCGCTTCGGCACGAGAACGACCTTTTTCCTTTCGAAGCAAGCTAAAGTGTGGATGGGAGCAGGGTGTTTTTCGCAAGGGGCCAACCGATCAATATCGATGGAATACGATCAATCGTGGAGGGGAATCGGGAAAGAAGAAGGGCGCTCCTCTGAGTATGAATAGCAGCCCTGCTCGAAGCCAAGATTGGGTTCGTACGTGGTCGGCTGGCTCACTTTACGTGTCGCAGATTGATGCACCAAATCTCTCTCCCTTTTTAGTTCTTCCGGGCTATTATTGTGTGGTCTTCTTCTAGGTTCGATTTAGTCGATTGAGCAGCCTTGTTATTTTTTTCTAGTCTTGCCGTCCATAGAATCGCCTCATTCGATCGCCGGTAGAGAGGAGAGCCCATCGGATCGTTTTATTTTGAAAAAACTGAGACCACCGAGAACTAGCCGCAAAACAAGGACAATGTCGATGGTGTGGACTAATGATAGCGGCAGCGATGTCTCTGTACCCTGGCATATGGAAGAGCTTGCGTTGGGTTAGTCTGCGATTCGGACTGCATGCAGCAGCCGTGCGTGTTATTAGAGCGGGGAGCGATATGTTGCCACCTTATTTTCTTTCTTTTCAGGGTGAAGAGCTGCTTTTTTGGGGGTTGGTCGCGTGTTTGGCGTGGTGATGCAAGTTGCTACATAGGGAAGGTTCGATCGCTTTCTGTTCTTGTTAATAAATGAGAGATAGAGGTTTCCGTCTATCTGTCTGTTTGGCTGTCGCTGTCTGTCTATGTGCTTGGGGTTTACGAGAGGGCGTTGTGACACGCTTCATGATAGCATTTACCACCGCCTACGATGCTTGATTGGTCGCAGGGTATGGAAGGGAGCGTGTGAAACATACACAAAACGAAAGTGACAGAGATAGTCACTATCATCCGGTCACAGACCGAAAGCCGTGAATCGGTTGGACGGGAGGGGGGGGCATGGCAGGCGTGCCGATGTAGAACACCGTAGGGTTGGAAGCAAGATTCGAACGTCAAAAAGGCACTAACTAGTTCGCCCGTTGAAAGTTTCCGGTGCTGCTTCTGCTGCTGCTGCTGATGATGATGATGATGGAGGCGTTGTTGCTGTATGTAGTAATGCGTGGTCCTCTCGTTGACTTCGTAAAGCAGTGGATAGTTGTGACTTATGCGACCGTGCCCTTCTAATTGCATGCGACAAGGGAGACAGGGGGGAGGAGAGGGGTTGGCGGTGACTTCAGTTGGCGTCACTATCCTAGATTCTGACTTAACGCGGAAGGAGCTAGTGGCCCTGTCCCAGCATGCGTGTTGAAGATAGGGTTGTAACACGATATTTCTACCTAATAGTGGGTGAATTTATTTGAAGCGAGCGGACCACAATGCTTGCGTTTGGCACCGCGAGGGCAAGACGACGAAAGGTCGCGCCGCTCACAGCGCTCCGACAGATCGATCGGTAGTGGGTACGAAGCGTGTGATGAGCGGCAGAACAAAGTCGTGAAGTTGCGATCTCATGTTTCGGCTAGTTATCTTATCACTCGGTTTGCCGGGCGGATGGGTAGACAACAGGGAGCCGAGGTAGAGTAAGCTACGAGCAAGTTGATCTGTCAGGCGTAGGGTACCTAGAATACATTAGTAGAAGAGAGGGCCGTCGTGTGCGCGTGGGTTAGGGGTGCGCGACCAGACTTTTTGTCTAAAGAAAAACTCTTTCAGCCTCATCTCCGACTAAGTACCAATCACAACATAAATCCAGAAAGCCTGCTGGCCGTACACACGTGCACGCTTGGTTATGTGCGTACGGCACACCACGTGCACCACCAGAGGTGCACCCCTTGACACTTGTACACGAAATAATCGGGGCAGCACAGCAGTGGAATCGATAACCGCCGTGTGCACACCGCAAGTCGCAACACCCGGAAACACCACGCCGTCTTGGCTCGTGTTTTACCTTGAGAAAGGTGCTGCTCCGAGAAAGTATGAGCAACACCCAGCCGCGGGGGTAGGAAACGCTGTCTCGAGAGCTGTACATTTTTCGATGCCCAGGACCGAAGCAAACATTGCAACATACGAACATATAGAGCATAGGGTATTGTAGGCCTAGCAAGCTCTCCGAAACGAACCACATTTTGACCTAACAACGACGACAACGCTGCCCCGCCAGGGGCGAGCAGTCTTGTTCTACGGCAAACACACGAACAGAGCAGGGGGGGCGCACGAACGAAACAAGGAAGACCCATGCAGACGTGCATCCGCCTACGTCTTGCCTGGAAGCCTCAATGTCGCTTCTGGTTCAAACCACAAATGGGCATCTCACAAGACCAAATTTAGTGTGGTTGCTGGAAGACATCATCAGTCTCCGCAAACACGAGAAAACGACACATTAGTTCCCGCTAAGCATGTAAGTGTATACCTGATCCATATTCCCCGGCTTTGAACTCAACAAGAGGGCACGGGGGATGTCTCAGAGCGCGCGCACGCGGGGGGGGTATCCTCTTTCGCCTACGGTGTGCAACAACACCGTCTGGCCGCGAATCCAGTAGTTCTTGGTTCACTACTGCACGGGTGATAAAGGTCTTGGAGGAAGAAGAACAGGGAGGTCTTGAAAGCTGTCCGTCTCCGCCTCGTGCTACCTACTGGTTTTCGGACCTTGACAGCCCGTAGTAGTCGGAAAACGTTGACGCCAGTCGTCTGGTCGGGGGACAGGGGGCGGCAGAACGGTGGGGTTATGGAAAGGGTGAAGGTTGCCGACTGTGCCGATCTGTGGTAGAAGGGTTGCGTATCTTATCATGATCCGTCCAGTCTCGTTTCTTCAAGGGCCTGGACCTGGCGTCAACGAACTTCGATCGATGTCGTCAGCTGCATCTAAGACGAGCCTGCGTAATGTTCGACACGAGCCTATTCGTTGGGCCCTCGTCCCACAGAAGCAAGCATATTCAGACCAAAAGCTTATGCCGCATGACAACGGAATAAGAATCAATGGTTTTCGCCTCTCGAGCTCCCCAATGGACTTCTTCATCGACACAGACGTTTCTGGTTTATTTCGTTGTTCGCCCTCATGCATCGGGTATGTCTCTCCGGAGGGCCGAAAGTCACATCCGACGACTTGACGTCTCAAGGCGGTCCCGGCAAGAAGAGTCTGTCGCGCACAATCACGGCTCTCTAAGTCTTGTAAACACGCTAAGTTGTCTTTGTTCTACACTACTGTCACAGCAACGGAATCGTTCAGTCCTCCATAGGAATTCGTTTAACACATTTCCAACAAGCATGCAATCCCATGAACCTCAGCAATAGTTGTTCGACAGAGGGCTGGTGAAATTGAAGCAATTGTTGGAATGGGCGTGTCACGTTTTCTCGTGTTCAGCGCAATTCTCAGCGAATCGAATGTGAAAGGTTTTGAGCACTGAACTGTTTCTTTTATGCTCCATATCATTTGTGCCTTACGTGGGTCAGCTCGTGGATGCTTTTTTTCCATCTTTGGGATCAGTACGGACACCGTTCTGGATAGATAGACGTCGGACCGGATCTCAAACGAAAAGGTTGCAGCCCAAAGAATGTCAACATTACTGAAGTTTGGAGAACGACGACCCTTACTCGAATAATGTCCTGACTGATCGCCATGCTCGTGAACCGCGTGAACAACCTGTCAATGAGGTACAAGTGTCAGACACCCTGGTCTTGGGTGACAGCACGAACGTGTTTCCACTAAGCTGTGCACGCATCCTTTGTAGCAGGTAAAGACATATAGTCGTACAGTGACACATTTTTCTTTAACAGCAATTATGAAGCTTCTCTCAACTCCCGTGTTCGACTTGCACCATCATCGAAGCCAATTAAAAAGGAAGGTCACAGCAAGAATACCACAAGACAAACAACATGAATTCAGCATGAATACGGAGGCGACGAAGCGCATCTTCCAATTTGACGCTCCCAGCTGGTACGTGTTAACATCCCATCGTTCTAGGCGCCATAATACGCCTTTCGGTGTACATTGACGCACCAACCGGGATCACACAGGAGGGAGACCACGCACGGCTTGTACGTATAGTCGATACCTTGAAGCCCCCGTTCCAAGGTTCATCGCACCTTCCGAGTTCGACGTAGCCGTTTCTCGAGTAGGGCACGAGTCCTACGCCGTCCCTCTGTGAGGCGTAGAAGGACACTTCCAAGGTAAAACAAAGAACGTCGGGGGAGAGCAGCTGACCCAGCGCTCGCCGGCCAGTGCCCTCCTTGCCTAAGGACGTACACAGCAGGGCCAAGAACAGCCACCACCCGAGGAGCAGCTCAGAGCTTGGAAGTGTAGTCTACGGGATTTATGCGAGAGGGTGGTTTGCCACATGACGGCTTCATGATGGGCATGTCTATCAATAACTGGCTGTCGCCTTCGGTCCGACGGTAAATAGTACGAACAGCGGACGAGGACTAGGGTGTGCGTATGTAGACTTAATGGGGCTGTCAGCCGTAGGTGATTCGGTGTACACAACAGGATTGATGTGCCACGTCATGTTGTTTGATATCACACCCATCCGATGGCGGAGACAGCACACAACTACTTGCCGAGCGGCCTCTTGATAGTTGAAAATGTCGCCCACAGACCGATGGTTTAAGCGCAAGGTCTTGCAAGGAACCGTGGCGGCTGCTGGATAAGTCTTGTTGGTCGCGTGAGCCATTGATCCACAATCATCAAGGTTTGTGCCAGAGCAGTGGACAGTGAACAATGGTCCAATAAAGCTCGACCCTGAAAGTATACTCAGTGTGGACAACAAGTCGCATGAGTGATTAGACCCTTCACTTGTTCTGATTGTCTCTTTTGCCATAAACGGTAGAACCAGGAAGTCGAGGGTGGTACCTCGGCAAAGGTCAGAAAATAGTCCACGTTTATCACTGTCTGAGTGAACACGGTCGTTTCTTGAATACTCGTGAATGGTAAACGTGTTTGTTAACGTGCTCAGGCATCGTGTTAGGTTCGCTGGCGACCACGGGACTTGCTCCTTTCCACAGGTTACGTCCGTCCATGAGGTATTGACCGGACATCGACACGGTTATGTCGTCAAGATAATGGTGTCAGTTGATAGACGCCACAACAACAGAAATAACGACAACTCCATTGCTAAGACCAAACAGACTCACTTGGATCAGCGTCGAATCTGGATCGCGCAAACGAAAAATCTGGGGCGTTCGCCGCCAACATCCTCGGGAAAACTGAAGACACGCCGCTGTAGGCCGTCGTATCGTCGTCTTCAACCAGCTCCCCCGCCGCTTTCCCCCTCGCAACTGCTCTAGAACTTCTGACCTTGCCGTTGCTGCTACAGCCGCCCCCTTCTTGCCGTTCCCGAGGTTTGTTTTTCCTGCGAATGCCAGGGCTGCAGTTTCCGCCGCCGCCGCTGTCACCGCCGCCGCGCGGAGCTTGCGCCCGTCTCTCGACGTCTGTTGCTACTGCCACCGTCGTCGTCGCCGCCGCCGGGGTGAAAGCGGCTGGTGCGGAAGTCGAGTGCCGCAGGGCCACCTGTGGCGTGAGCGATGGTGATGCAGCCCGTGCCGTTAGAACTGGTGGTTTTAATGGCCCTTGTGTTGGTGATGCCGATACCGCTGACACCGACGATGCCGATGATGCTGACGTCGGTGTCGTCTGCCGCGGCGATGGTGTAGAGGGGTTGCCCGGTGCTTGGGTACCTGTTTGCTGATCCCGCGGCGGCTGCCGCTGCGGCGAAGGCACAGGTGTCGGTTGTGGCCAAGACGGTGTGCTTGCTCCCGAGTCCGCTTCCGATCGCCTGGAAGGAGAGCTCGAAGAAGGAGACGATGCGGTAGCAAACTCTTTTCGTCGCGCCGGAATGTTGTTTCCGTACATGAAAGAGTTTGTGCCCACGCTGTGCGCGTGGATATCTGTCGGTCAATTGTTGTTCGGGGAATAGATTGGTCGCTGGTGTGTTCTGTTCGGTACTTTCGATGTAGATGATCTAGACGACGAGCACCGGGCGGTGAATGAGCAATGTTAGATGTCCTACAGTGTGCTAAAAGATGCGGAGAAACTTCAACGAGAGCGAAGTTCAACTGGTTTGGTCGCATTATGTCTGGGATTATGCTACGTCCAAATTCCAGGGCTGCAGACGGCCGACTCTCCCCAGCAATCGCTCTGCGACTACCCCACGGCACCCGCATCTACATAAGCTGTCTGGTCGTCACGTCAAGAATGCACATCCCAAATCGGCATTCTCTCTCGACACCACATAGATCAAACAAACGTACCCCAAAAATAGCTTGCCGCGGTGGTGAAACGCACAAATACCGCGACGTTCGTGCGCGTACATCACTCCAAAATAAACCACATCTGAAGCGTATGGACGCAGCTTCGACAACTCACCAACATAAAAATCAAGGTCGACGGACGGGTCCTCGTGCAATTCTGCGACGAGGGTCTTGACCGAAAGAATCTCCGGTTGCGCCCAAGCAGTAGGGTCCAGCCAGTGCCGATTGAGGTCGAAGCCTAGGTACGAGCAACGGTAGTTGCCGTTCACCACACCTTTGTTTGTTGTGTGTGTGTTTTCAGGGACAAAGAAGCCGCAGTAAGAATGTTTCAGTAGGCCAACGGTAAGAACGAAGTAGAGGTGAGCGCGAAGGTCAGAGGGGGTTACACTGGACCGCGGGGAGCGGGTCTGCGGATTGTACCGGTCACGAAACATGGAGGTGCTTGAGACGGGGTGGTTGGTGCCAGGGATCAGCAACACCAGCACACACAAAATAGTAACCACAACAACATTACGCAGCAGCAGTATCAACAAACAAGTACAACAAATACCAACAAACTGAAGAGCAGGAGCGGCAGGGGCATGGCGAGTTCTATCTCACCATCCGGGTTCAGCATGGGAACGATCTTGAATACGACGTTTCCTCTCAGAGCCCGGGCCCGCGGAGATTCGCCGGTAAGGAAGTCAATCACGCCGTGGATGATGAACTGCGCCGGTGTTTCACCGGGATGAACCCTGGGGCGGGAGGGACGGCGCAGTAGGCGACAGTCTCGAGTGTGTTGGGCTTCCCGGTGGGGCACAGCCTTCTTCTCAGTTGACGGGTAAGGGTGATGTCAAACCTTAACATCTCCCGTTCCCGATGGTTCTCTCCTGTTGTATCAGGGCTGTTTCTTCCTTGAAACTTTCAATCGAGCCAGACTATGTGGTCTTCCAAGGCTACTTCGCCACGCGCAAATCGCTCGGATGCTGTATGCATAGTGTCACCTCGCAGACATGAAGACCCACTTTCGCTCTCGCAACGGTCGTGTCCCCGGTTCCCCCTCGGGCGCCGTTATTGTCAGCAGATCCACCCTGCGTTGCTGTAACGTCCGACACAGAGCCTCTCGCTGCAGAAATGGAAGTTTAAGCCTTTCAAGACTTGCCATCATGTTGTCCGGAAACAGCGACGATACATCGAACGGCGCGGCGCAACAGTAAGAACACCAAATAAACCGGCCGGTGTAGGTACACAAATGGAACTGCTTGGTGGCGCTTGCATTATCCCTTGCGTGCGAGCCGGGGATGAACGACAGAAGCACCTCGTGGGCCGCAATGCCCAGCTGGAAGACGCGGATTCTTGTACCATTCCAGGATACAAAGTACGGATCTCTTGGGTTGTTAATCCATCCGCAGGAAGTCATCGGGAGGGTTGAACCGGCACGTTTTCACCCTATCTAGAATGCTACATGAGAGAAAACCGGCTGCGTTCGCATCTTCCAAGTTGACTTGACTGCATCTAGATACATTCACCTCTCAGATAGTTCGTACACGCATCTAACGTACCTTGGCACGTTGTATGTTGGACTCGCTCGGACACACCCTGTATTCTGAGGCTCGTTCAACTACAGGTGTGTCCAGGACATGGAGTCGCGGCATTGGTGGTTCAGATTACTTTAGCGAGCCCGTATTTAGAGTACCGCCGCGCCGGGAGTTTCTTTGCAGGGTCCTCTTGAGCTGCGACCGGGTGCGATTGTCTCACCTGTAGAGGTATCTCTGCAAGTCCGTGTAGGTGTACGGAAAGGCGTAGGCGAAAAAGTAGGGAGCAGCGGCTGCCACGTCGAATTTGAAGAGGAACGACATCACGTAGGCCATCCGATTACCAGGTCCCTTTGGCGACCGATAGTAGAGCACTTGACTCGACGGGATTCGCTGTTTTTGCAGGCAAGGGGAGGAGAGGATGCATGGGTTCGCTGCATGTTATCATCCTTGTACATCCTCGTGCCAAAGCTGCCCTTGAGTCGGCATGCGTCCTTCACGACACGGGTTGTACGCGCGTCTGATGCTCGATTTTCCACCCATTATGATATTGGTTTCATGGGCCATGCCTAAACAAGTCCATTGTGAACAAGTCAAGTCCGGGCGCATCCAATCCAAGCCACCGGAAACGGTTACGTGCTTACATTCCAATGGGGTCGTCCGCGGGAGCACACAACCGGAGCAAGACCTTCCCTGTATAGGCTCTTCGTTTTCGAGAAGTTGACGATGTTTAGCAACACCTGCAGCCAGCAAGAGGACTTCGTCGTTACCCTTTCTTGGTTGTGTCCAATTGAATTTGACGTATTCCAAGCGACAAACGCCTTTGTGTGTGCGACACATCCAGACATTCTTGGCAGCCTGAAGAGTAATATGGGGCCTTGGCGTCCCGTACATTAATGTGAGGTGCGGCACACGTCACTCTCCAAGTGCGCGCTGTTAATCAAGAATCTCACACGCTATTCGCGACGCACACGATTCTGGTTCAAGAAACAAGCGATATGAGGTCGAATCTGAGTCAAGTCATTGAGATGCACGACTTGAAAGGCTCTCTAGTCGCTCTGCTGCCCCGCCAATCCCATCGCCCTGTACACTATATACAGGATGACCACAAAACGGTCTTATCGAACCTGTGACCCACATAGTTTTGAATTTGGAGCTACCTACCATCTATTACAACATGAAATCGCCGGTGTTAATCTGTCCCAAACTTTCACCCAACTTTCACCCGAGGGTGGAGATGACGATGATGTAGTTTAGAATACTGCACATGTGAATGTTCCCTTTGTTGGAAGAATACCTGCTGTTGAGGACGGATATTTGACACAGAAAAGTAGAACCAAAGTCGATGCCGACTATTATTGGTGTCCGGACGTATCTTGATGTCATACTCGCATTCGCTCAGCTGGTCTACCTGACCGATGTTGCCACTGATGATGACAGCGCGCACGAACGCCACAACAACAGCAGAGGGGCCAAGAGGGAGGATATTCACAAACATAACACTGACATATTCACAGTAGTTCTGCGCGCCTAGATGCGTTGCGTGTTTGTGTTTTCGTCCCATCTATTCTTGCACCAGTCAACATAACAGTCTATGTACATCGCTTCCAGTGCAGTAGGTTCACGAAGTTGCGCACTACAAGACCACCGGGGTGACGCCCAAATAGATGCGGTGGGATGCCAATTATTGACATGATGAGGGTTCGTAATTTTCTGGAGTCGGCACAATAGAGACGGTAGCAGGCAGCCACACACCTTTCAAAATGGCAACTGAACTTCAGGTTGCCAGGATGCTGACAGGGCATCGAGTGGGCGGAGGTTGACGAGCTTCTTGTACCCGATGCTTGCTTGGCAAACGATGGTGCTAGCCGCGGCTCGCCTTTATCTCGCATGACGCTTCCAACGGAGCTACGGCCGTTTGTCTAGTCTATGTGCTGTGGGTGTTTTTAGACATCATTTTTGCCGCTCTCAAACAAAGGTAAGAACATGTAGTGTAGCATATTAGGAAACATAATGTACAAACACAGAAAGACTACCCATTCGAGATATATTACGAGCCTCTTAGGCTGTACCGGTTCGATCAAACGCGGAGATACCGACGTGTGTGTGTTGTAGCCCTATATTCACACCTTCTTGTTTTTGTTTTTTTTCCATTTCGTGCGTTTCATGCCTTTTACGCCGCGTGTTTGCATGAAATCATACACGCCTCCCAGCGGTACGCACAGATAAATTGCGGGCACGCTACAACTCACGAGCAATTTTGCTGTCGCCGCGAGTTGCGATAAACCTCGAGGTTGTAACCTTCAGGGGTGTTGGCAGACGTTGTTAAAAGGCGTTTGGTGGTGCTGGGTTTGTGGTATCGGTCACGGAGTGGTGCATTGTAGCATGACGCGTCGTGCAAGTGGTGGCGACACTGGCGAGGGAGACGGGACAGCAGGCTCCAGTTCCTCCAAACGATCTTCGCGTCGAGGGCGAGGATCTAGCGACGAGGAGGCGGCTGCGGCAGCCGCTATCATCGGTCTTCTGGGTGCTGGAGACACCGGGGCGCAAGAGGGCAGGAGGAGTCTTCGATCCGGTCGAAAGCTGGGCGGGGACGCGGGAAGCGGTAGTCGCACCGCCCCCGACCATGCCGCCGAGAGCGGTGCGGAACATGCTCAACCGACACCACCGAAGTCCACCAGACCGCACCGTGCGGCGTCTCCCAAACGTGGGAGGTGGGCATCTGGCCGTGGCGGAGGCGCGGTTTCGGGGGCTGGAGGGAGCAGCGCCGGGGAGGAGGGGGGTGGAGAGGTGGAAGGCTCTGCAAAAGTTGGTCCAAACGAGGGAGAGGGCGAGGTGAGAGGCTGGGTCCGCACATACAACGTATGGATACAGCAAGGGTTTATAGCAGTCCAGGCGTCTCTGTATCCCGAACGCCCGAACGCCCCGCCTCTGATACGGAGGTTGCGTCCTTGTGATTCTTACACGACCATCGATAACGAGCTGGGGTCGTGGACGTAAGGGGGTGAGGCGCCAGGAGCGGGCTACATCGGCTTTTTTTTCGTTGAAAAAGAGCGGGCTCGCTCGTGGATTTTTAAAATCTTGCAACATCTTCACATGAGCCTACCACACAGCAGCACACTTACTTGTCAGAAGGCGCGCGCATGAGCTGTGCCGCTTGTATGCAATGCATACGAACAGCCATATAGAGCAGCAATGATGTGCGGAAGCTGCGGAACGTTAGCCAAACTTAGGAATGCACCGATGTTTGGGTGCGGTAGCCCGTCAGAGGCCGAAAGAGAAAGAAGGTTGACTCAAGACCTTTGTTGATTAGAGAGTGAGAGACATGCGGTAGGCAACACCATCGCCATGCAGCATGCCCATCAACACATTTCATCCGCGTATCCCCCGGAGGTCCCGTAGACAGTATACTCTGCCGAGCACCCCAAACAGCCCCCCTGCTCGGTACGAGATACGATCTACGAAATCCTCGTCACGACTATCATTGCCAGGTAAAACGGCGATAAATCAAACTACGCATCCAAACGGAAATCATCCACCATTCATTCCATTTCAAACAATTTCCCAATAAAACAATGTTCTACGAAATCTGTCGATCTCCCAATAAAACATGCTCTACGAAATCTTTCAAATGTTCTGATGATATCAAATAACTATCTCCTAAAAGGTCTGTCAATAAACATTTCACCCTCTTGAGAAAAATGCTTTACCAAATTCTCAAGAAGTCAAAACACAAACAAATACCCTTGGAAAAATACCCAGCAAAGATACACATTACATCAGAATCACGTCAGAACGGGGACGGGTAACTCCGGGAAAATGTGTCCAACGTCCTGACTTACTCAGAATAAATTCCTCAGATAAACATTCATGTTTCAACTCATTGACCAGCTCAAATAACCTTCGGAAACACAAAGGCTTCAACCATGACTTACGAGAACATGCCAAATCCTTCCCTCCAATATAATACCTTGACAAATATACCAGTCCACCAGCAGCCCCCCTGCTGTAACATCCATCCATCCCAAACACGAAGAAACCAAACAAACAAGTCCAAAACAAACATGAAGAAACCAACAAATCACAAAACAGACAATCAATAATCCCGCATCCCCCCTGCTGGGACATCTCATATAAACGCAACGAAAATCCCATTCAATATTCAATTCCATGTCACCTCCGTAGGTAAAACGCGGAAAACGATCCAAACACGAACTACCCAAATCCCATTAGCCAACATCAATTCCATATAAAATCCCCAGGGAAAACACGGAAAATCTCAACATGAACTACCACCCGATGTCAGAAACACTGCTGGTTGTGCTGCAGCGGACAGCATGGTATCACATTCCCCCCCCCATGATTTCCGACAGCAGTGCAACAATCAGGCGTGATTCCGCAAAATCCAGCATGCTAATTCTGCATCGAACTTCATCAACTCCAAACCGAAACAAGAAAAGAAAATATATCAAAGAAAAGACGTCACACGTCCAGCGCATACCAGTCTGCCGTACAGGCCTACTTGGAAAGGAAAATTGGTATTCCGCAAGGATTGACTCGTCGGGTACCGGTACATCGGGGGGACAGAGAAACGGTGCGTGCCCCCCAACGTCTTTACCCAGCACGTCGAACGCCAAGCCAACGCCTACTACATATATCCAGTACCATCAGAAAAACATAGCAGTAACTACCATAGAGAATGTTATCCCAACAAAGATGGAAAAACCAGAGTGGAACAAACCGTACGAGAAATTATACTACCACCGCCAATTGAGATATTTTCCTGGCAAACAACAGCCCCCCGGCCGCAACATTCCATTTGCCTCCCAGAAAAACAACAATAATCAGCCATGGAAATTCCCTGCCATTTGGCCGTCGGAATTAGTGTCCCTGCAAGGTAAAACGCGGGTGGGTATCTCTACAGAACAAAACAAAAGCAAATCCAAACCTGCAAATGTGCCAACGATAGGAAAAATGATTTGCAGACATTCAAACAACGATGAAAAGTGCAGCATTGTATCTGAAGATCAAAACACAAGAACAACATCCTGCACACAACAAATAATAGAAAAATGACAAGAAGAAAACGCAAACAAACATCACGTGCCTTGGCGAGTTTGAGACCCCAGCAGAAGTCGCGCTGCTTGCCGTCATTGTCGGACTCGCCCGGTCTTCCGAACTCCCTTCCCCGCTTCATGATCCTCCTGTCGTTGTTCCGGTCGCGAACACGGGCTCCCCGGCCGTTGCCCCCGCGACATCTTTCCACGGTCGAACGGGGTGTCCACCCCCATCACCGGCCCCACTCTCCCAGCCTTCAGCCGGCACAGCTCCCCCGGGTCGAAGGGGCGCAGCAGTGCCCCAAACCAGGCCACATCCATCCCCTCTGCCTCGTCGTTGCTACTGCTGCCGATGCTGCTGCCGCTACTGCTGCTGGAGCCATCGACCAGGTCGTCCACCCCGGGATAGTTGGCGCCGCGCACCCCCGAACACACGGTGCCGGGATCGAAAGGGTGCGTGGACGCCCCCCTCTCGCCACAGACGCTGTCATCCCAGCAGCCATCAACCTCACCTGCGCACCAACCGCCATCATCGCTGTCGTCGTCAATGCCGTTGACCACCGCTTCCCCGTTGCTGGCCGTCCCCCCAACCGATACGGTGGGGGGAACGTCGCCGACGGTCGCCATCGTAGCGGCCGGTGCCATCGCCGCGGTCGCGGGTGGTGCCGTCACCGATGTCGCCACTCCAGCCGCCGATGCCGTCATTGTAGCCACCTGCCCGGGTTCTCGAGCCATTCTCCCCGCCGCCGCAGCGGGAGAAACAACGCCGTCGGGTGCCGCCGCCGTCGCCGCTGGAACCGCCGTCGATACCGACGCTCCAAGCACCAACGCGGGCGCTCCGGTCGTTCTCCCCGCCACCGTCGCGGAGATAACAGTGTCGCCGGGCACCGCAACCGTCGCCGCTGGAACCGCCGCCGATGCCGTTACTCCAGCTGTCGCCGCGAGCCCTCCGGGCGCTTCCTCCGCCGTCGCTGCGAGGGAAACACTACCGCCGCCGTAAGTCGCCATCGTCGCCTCTGGAGCTGCTGCCGATGCCGCCGCTCCTGCCGCCACTGCAGGAACCCCGGCAATTCCCCCCGCCGCCGTCGCGGCGACAACACTACCGCCGCCGTAGGTCGCCGCCGTCGCCGCTGGAGCTGCCGCCGATGCCGCCGCTCGTGCTGCCACCGCGGGGACTCGGGTCATCCCCCCTGCCGCCGTCGCGGGGGGAACACTGCCGCCAGAGGTCGCCGCCATCGCCGCCGGAGCTGCT